GTGGAACAATCCTGCTTGGCTTGATCCGAAAGCCTTGGAACTGGGTCCAGGTCTAGCATCCAGTCTGTGGGTGGCAGCCTGTGCAGTTGTGACAGGTCCGAGACATCAAGCAGCTGTTCTCATGTCTTTGGTTTGACTCTTACTGGCTTTTTTTTTTTTTTTAATTAAGTGGTTTTGTTTTTTTGTTTTTTGTTTTTGGTTTTGTTTTGTCTTGAATCAACAGGTTCCGTTTTTTGGGCCCCTGTTTGATGGAGCAATCGTGAGTGGGCAGCTCCTGCCAAGCCTTATCTGCGCCACTTGCATCAACGCCAGCAGGGCCGTGAAGTGCCTCATCCCCCTCTACCAGAGCTTGTATCTTTTTGCGCTAAGTGTGTAATGTATTAACCGTCCCAGCATCCAGCTTCCAGGCACCTTCTCGCAAGAGGTAAGTCTTAACAACTGGGTGGAAGAGGGAAGAGGGAATTTTTTTCAATCTGGGTTGAAGAAAACTGTGATTTTCATACCATGCCTTAGTTTATATTAAATATAATAATTTTGTGCTACATCAAACTTAGAAGAGTTGATTTTCATAATCAAGTCACATATGTTTATGCTAAGAAGTGGTGCCTATGACAAGATGCTCATTCCTCCTGGGGTATTTCTCCCCAAGTTTGGTGCCCTCCTGCCTCCCTGTTTGCTGCAGTCTGTTGTGTGTAAGGTGGGGTGCTGAGAAAATGCAACGGGGTCACTCCAAGTGCCTACCAGAAATGACGCTAATTAATCAAAGAACACGGCAAGTGCCACCAGAGAAGCACAAATGGTGTTCCAGGAGGTCGGGGGAGGGGGACATTGCGTCTGGTCGGGAGGACAGGGAAAGACACCCTCAACAAAGTTGTACTTGAACTCATCAGTAAGAATGGCTGGAATTCCTTTTGTCATTTTCCCAAGTCATTAATATCTCCTTCTCTCATTTCTGGTCTTCTCTCTAAAAACAGAAGAAATTTCACTAGTGTAATTGTTTTTTCTCCAACATTAGTTGGCATGCTGTCATCTTTAAATTCAGGCCTGACCCCTGACCATAAGAAAAAGAAATTAAGGCAACTTCATAAAATCACTGCAAAAAAAAAAAAAAAAAAGTCGCCGCGAAAGGCATCTGACCTCCTAATAAAACTCAGGATCTCTGTTTCTAATTAGTATTGGTAATGATGATAAGCGTATTGTGTTTGACCTCCGTCTCTGCACTTCTCGCAACCTTGCCATCAGTGACATGTTGCTGGAGAGTGGGGGTGAGGGGTGGGTGAGAAATATAACGTGTGAATAGATACAGTTCATGAAAAATACCTTTCATTAAAATCCTGGTCACTTCATTGACAGATACTCTGTCTTTAGGTTAAAAAAAAAAAGTACATATGCCATGTGGCAACTCGGAATTATCATAGAAATTAGTAGTAGAAAAGAGCTATTAGGTCCCATCTGGTCCCTCCCCGGGGGCCTGGGCAGCATTATCCCCTTGGCCTGTTCCCTCCTGCTTTGTCCGGTGGTGGTGGTGTTTGGGAGAAAGCGTTCTGTGCAGTGATCTCCACGGCACTCTGGACTTAATCTTACGGCTGGTGTCGATTCAGCCTTCCGCGTGGCGTTTTTATTTCACAGACTCTTAGAGAGAGGTTCTTGGCAGAAATGAGAAAGATCCTTTTTAGCAATTGGCTTGTCGGTTTGCATGATGAACTGGACACTTATCAGTCAAGGACGTTGGACCAAGGCATGAAAAAGCCATTTGCAAACAGGAAAATTCCATCTTGCGTGAGTCCACTGGGATTTTTGTCACCCCACCTTCTCCACTCCTGGAGCTGCTTGTTACAAGAGCCATGCTTTGCTGCGTTGTTGGGCACTGCTTTCTCAAGTCAGAATTAACGTGGCTTCAGAATAATCAGGTTCAAGGGAAAACGGTATTTTTAAAAGTTCAAAGGATAGGATTCAGCATCACATTAAAAACTCTCCAAGCAACCACACCTGACTAAAGTGGGTGCCGGCTTAGGGCTACTGATGCCAGTGTGAGTTAGAAAATGCTGTATTCCAAAATCACTCATAAAGTAGCCAGGTCGACATCTTGGAGGATGACTTGGTACAGAAATTAGGAAAAAGTAACAAAACTTACTATGTTGATCATTATAAAATGTTAAACATTTTTCTTTTGCGTTATGCCTTGAGAAGATGTAATTGGTACTAATAAATCACTTGAAACAAGAAATAAAATATTATAAATATTTATAGAGATGTAATTAATGGGGAAAGCTTTGCAATCACTTAACTACTCTATTCCTTCATTTCTGCCTGCAGAAGAGCTAATATTCAGGCTAGAAACCAAAGGTATGAGAAGAAGAAAAGTTAGGAGAAGTGGAAGAAATAAGAGAAAAGGAAGGTGGGACTGTTTGTATTTTTGTTCTTTAAAAAATTACTAATTTAAAAAATTTTTAATATTTATAGATATCTGCCTAGGCTATTAATAATGAATTGCTCTTTTAACATTTTATTAAAACATCCTGGTCCTCACATGCTTTAGCAAAAGTCTGAGCTAGTTGGTGTCGCAGCTAATGTCTGGAATTCACTGCTTCACTGAGATAAGCCCTAGATTTGAATTTTGAAAAATACCGAATAACCTGACACATCCTAACATGGGTGTCTTCTTGCACTGATTCATTTACCAAACAGTCAGTGTGGACTCAGCCCAGTGCTGAGCTTGAGATCCACGGGGAGCAGGCAGGCATGGTCCTTGCCCTGCGCTACCCTGAGAAGAGAGGCAAACTAATCAAGTTCCAGGGCAACTGGGGAACGGGGCTGAGATGGCCAGGGAGAGAGCTGGTGGCCGAGCTGAGGGGATGCGAGAGGCTCTGTCCACCAGGGAGCAGGGGTGGGTCCCAGGCGGAGGGCACAAGAGCAAACACAGGGACTCAGAGTGTTCTCAAGTGGTCAGCCATAGGAGTGAGCTTCCAGCAGAGATGGTCTTCTGAGCGGGACCAGGGGAGCTGAGGGGACCCTAACTTTCACCTCATGGCCACCTTGAAAGTTCACATCCTAGGACAGCATCACAGCCACCTGACGCCAGGGGAAGAGGTCAGGAGTGGGTGTAGGGTCCACTCCCAAGGGAGTGCAAGCCCTCCCAAGGGCTGAGAAGATCAGTGATACCTGGGACACCCCTGAAACCATGGTTGGCTGTATAACCTCTGGGTCCCAGTGCAGAATGAAAATGTGGGGTCCTTTATTCAAAAAGCAGGGAAAGTGCCTTTAAAGATGCTAAAATATAAAGCTTTTTCCATTCTCCTGCAGTTTTTCTCTGACTTGTCATGGTGTTTTTTAATTTGCTATTTATTATCAGTTTAAGTAAAGAAATACAAAAAATTTAGATTATTAGCATTAATTTTTTCATTCTTTATATTGTGCAGTGCCAGTTTAATATGCAAATGTAAAAGCATTTAACTCATGTATGAAATCACCCAAATCACCCATTCATACTTCATAACTTGTACGTGGATATATTTTGTTTTGACTAGGACGGTGGAAACACGGCACAGAACTAACTTACGGTTTTATTTGTTTAATATGCAAATGTAAAAGCATTTAACTCATGTATGAAATCACCCAAATCACCCATTCATACTTCATAACTTGTACGTGGATATATTTTGTTTTGACTAGGACGGTGGAAACACGGCACAGAACTAACTTACCTGGTTTTATTTCACTCTCCCTACACGCTAAAACTTACCCTCAGTTTACGGACAAGTCAGGAAGGACTGACCGGAAAGGGAACCACAGTTCCGTTTTCCCCTTTCCTTCTATGTCATCATTCTTAAATTGTTGGCTAATACAGGGAAGTAACACAGCTAAGGACACACAGGGTTCCTTGGCTGTTCATGTTTCTTAGGACACCGTAGCCGCCTTTCTGCGTTCACTGCAAGTTCTGGTTCAGATGGGGAGCGTGGCCTCCCCAGGGAGCCAGCCCCCCACCCCAGCTAGTGACTGATACTCAACTGCCTTCAAATACTGTCCACTGAGATTCGGTCCTGTATAATATTTAACTATTTCTACGTCAACCTTGTTCAGTAATGTTCAAGAAAATACAATGTTTGTTATTAAGCTGAGGACTGGGGGCGTTGTTGGAATGAATTTGCCTTTTGGAGATCTTTTCTCAAACAGTAACTCCAGCTTAAAGTCAATATCAGAGGAGTTCTCGTTTGGGGTACCCTCGGCTAAGCGATCACACAGTTCCAAGTGTGTGTTGAAGGCTCATAGGAGACTGAAAAATACCATTGTCTTATGTGGCCCAAAAAGGAAGTGAAGGCGGTAGGGATGTTTGGAAAGCACCCTCAGTGACGTCTCAGCCGGGCCCCTGTGCCTCCCAGGTCCCTGGTCACCTCCTCCATGGGGGCTTCCTAGTCACCCCTTCTGGGGGCCAAGTCCAGTCTATCGAGTGGAGCCTTCATCCTGCGGCCCCCGCCCTCCCGAGCGATGAGGGCCAGCTCACCTGCCATCAGCTTTCCCTGCCCCTCGTGGGCAATCAGAGGGCCCAGGCCTGTGTCTGGAGGGCTGTGGATGGGGAACTTGCCACACATGGTGTGTACAGGTCCCAAGCCAACTCGAGATTCCAAAATCAGACCATGGTCCGCTGAGAGAGGTTTCCAGAACCATCGGGCCAGGGCTCCGTGCTCCTGCTCGGAGAGCTTGTGTCACGAGAGGTTGCCACGGCCCGTGGTGTGCCCATTAGGAGGGGTTCTCCCGGAACCACACAGATGGTGGCCTTTGAAAGTGCACGTCCCCTCTGGGGACACAGTGGTCTCAGTGACGTCCCCCGCCTCCTCCCTGGAACTGTGTTCATTGATGGGGAGGACCCAGCTGCCTCAAGAAGGTAGTTGGCCACCACTCTTTCACAGGTGAAAGTTAGTTTCATTTTCAGTTAGCAGATAGACGTGATGATTCCAGAGCGTCTCTCTTAGACTCATGACTTCTTCATATCTTTGCTCAGTCGTCTTCTCAATTTACACACTTTCAGAAGTGGCCCCTCTTCCTAAAGCTGTAACCATCCTGTTTCTTCCCTCTTCCCTGGACTTTTGGTTCTTTCTCCTGGGAAGACCTTATGTTCCTCCATTTGTCTTCACACACTTAAGTGTAGGAGAAGGACTCAGACGGGACAGCAAAGAGCGAGTTACGCATCTGTCAGCATTTTCTGTGCTCTCCCACGTGCCAGGCACTGTCCTGGCCGCCCGGCATAGGAATATGAACACGATATTCCAAGTGAGGAGACAGCATTTGCTCGGACCAAGCTCTGGGAAAACGCATCATGTTTGAGAACCACAGATGCTTCTGTACGGCAGCGT